TTTTTGTCACTTTTATTTATAGCAGTCAAGGGTATTTTCCATGTTTTTTCATAACTTTATGCATCTTTAAAGAATTTTTGAGATTTAAATTTTGAACATTGCCTGAAGGATGTAACTCTTTACTGTCTTGGAGTATGTGAAGTAGGATTCAGTTTCAGCAGTTACTTATATCGGTGTCGTTTCTTTCTTTTCCTTTTAAATGTTGTGGTTTGTATTGTTGATCCTTCTGTTAGGATAACTTGCTGTTCTATTTATAATTCAGTAAAGGTGTGGTTAAAATCATCCCTTTCATGCAAGTTTTCGCATTTTGCAGCGTGAAAAGTTCATAAATCTTGTGGAAATTGGTCGTGTTGCAGTAGTCCATAGTACATCTACCCGGTTCATCGATTTTCAGGATGTTAGCTTCATTAGGGATGCGATCATATATGGTCAATGTAGAAAGCAAGTGTTTGCTAAGGTTTCTGAAATTGTCAGCTGAGCCAAGCAAGCTATCTAATTACTCGTATAGGAAAATTGTGACTATCTTTAATCCATCCAGTATGCAGTTCACCATCTCAACACATATATCCATCTCGAATCCTTTCCTAAATTCGAACATTCTGCGCGAAACAAGGAGGCTTATCCATGCTACTGAAGCAGTACGTACTTAAATAATTAAGGGGTTTTGAAGTGTTTTGTTTTTCGTAGAGGTGAGCATAATCTTGGGAGTATTTTCATTTACTGGAAAGCTAGTGAAAAGTGGACTATCTTTTACACATTTTGCGAATAACTTGCGAGTTCTGAGGATAAGATTTTCTGCCACTAGGAAGGTTATAATGTATTTATAAAAAGTACTAGTCCAGAAATTCCCGGATGGATAGAAGTTTACTGATTTCTTTGCTACGGTAGATATGTTTATATTCAATGATGCCTTTTAGAAGCACAATATTTCACTTCCTGAAAATGATGAGAAACTGAAAAAAGCGGAGGAGGCAGTCCAGAAGGAGCACAGGGTATGAATTGCTGCTATTAACAGAAAATTATTGTTTGACACTATTAACAGAAAATTCTTCCAAGGATCCAGCCAATTATTTTGTGCCTTGCAGGAAGCGAAACCTACAGGATTATTTGCAAAATTGAAATATTATTTGCAACGTTATTGGTATATTGCTATTCCAATACACATTGCAAACTGTATCATTTGGTTTACTGTCCTTTATATCACTGTCAAAAGGTTAGTTTCTCTTTTTATTCGGTTTCTGGGAGTATTTAAGATTAAATTCGGAACTGAAATCAGTTATTATTGAATTAAATTAGTGGTTTCAAACACTTTCAGCGGTCTTGATGTTGCTGCATTACTAGAGAAGTGCCATGTACCTAATTATGTTGTTGGTAGAATAAAATCAGTTCCTTCGAACGCAGGAGTTGCTGTTGTAGCCTTTCTGTTGTACAAGGTACGAGCTTTACCAACTAACTAATTACGCAAAAGTTTGAAACATGCCAAAAGAATAGAAGGCGTTACATAGTTAAGACTAATCAATCGTGGATGAATAGCTTAGTTCGAGGCCGTTGTAACATGTTTCAAAAGATCCATGCACAATCGTGTGCCGTGTGTAGTTGTTTTTCATCCGGAAGATGTTACTGTTTGTTGCTTAGTGAAATTTCAATTCGGTCTCGTTTCAGATCGCTACTCCCTTTCGTTATGCTACTACTGTGTTACTAATACAGCTTAGTTTCCCTATTCTTCGACGAATGGGCATAATGACAGCAAAGGAAGTGAAATATAAAATGCGATTGAAATATACGAATAAAGTAAGAAAAATAAAACGCCGTTATCAACTAAAATTTAATAGAGTGGGATCTGTCGGAAATAAAAAACGGCAGAATACCAGTGGATTTAAAAAATCCTAGTAAAAGCCGTCGATCATTTTTGGTTTACATTGTCGTTTACTGTATGCGTCTTAACGTCGTGTAACTTACACTGTGTATTGTTTAGTCATTATTCACCGTTAAGCTCACTCGGTGGAAACAGGATGCAAATCTCCAGAAATTTTTGGTTTGCGAGTTTTTATAATTACATCATTGATGAAGTGCTTCCCATAAAATTTTGATGAGTTTGAGTTTCAAGACATCGTACTGTTTCCAAATTTTGAACAATTTATTTGAACCGTTGTAGAAGTTTCGGTGCTAGGCTTCAAAGACGAGCTCAAATGCTGCACTGAGCTGTTTACAAAGTATTTGTATTTATTTGTACTTATGTTCAAGTAGTATTTACGTAATTTGCAACATAATGCATTGGCTTAGTGTGCATGTTTATCAGTTTTTTAATCTGTAAATTGGTAATGTAAGACATACAAAGACTTGTAAGGTAGAATGATCGATTAGAATAATAGAACTGCCATAATTATTCGGAAAGGTGTAAGAATATAAATCCAGAAAATTATTAATTGTAAGTGGTAAAACGCTTCGGCAAAAATTTACGCTGGTAAAGCTCATACTAAGTAAGAATAAAGATTTCTCTAAAATTAATGTTCAAAAGTGTTTATAAGGTTGAAGGTGATTGTCCATTTCAAAATATATTGCAGAAAGAAACATAGGGGACTGTTTGGCGAAAACAGGTTCAGTAGTTGTGGAACTGAATAGCTGCTTCCAATTGCTAAGAACTAAATTTATTACTGCAAGTGTTAAGGGAACATGCGTTGATGAACTTTTTTGCATTAGAAGTGTTTAGTTTAGGACATGCATGGAGAGTCTGCATCTTTATAACGGTTGGTCGAAGAGGGCTAGTTTCGTGATTTATTTCGAATTTATGCTTTAATTAAGCAGACATAATTCTTATGATAATGTGGCCATGTGTACAATCGATAATTCCACGTTTCCTTAAACTTTGGAGGTAACAATACGATATCGACAAGATTAAGAGGACGACGACTGAGCCATTTCACCGACGCTTTTTCAGATTGAACATGCATCGCGAAATTTGATTTTCTATAGTAGTAGAGAGATAGTGATAATTATACAGAAACATGATACCTGAAAAATAACTAGAATCGTTGACAGTCATGGCTCACTGTTTTGTGTGAGAGAAGATCTTTAATTTCGTCTTCCAATTTGAGGTAGATCATGCAAAGGTTAAGGACAATGTTTTCAATGACGATAAGATCTGAACCGCTTCGAGAAGCGTTGTCCTAGATTTGTTGTAATCAGATAAAATCAACGTGTCTTTCTGGGAAGCATCTGTAATCGTATATGAGAAACATGATTTGGCATCTTGCGGTCAGTTTTGAACGCATACTGGAAGTGATGTCAAATGTACAGTCCTTCTGAGAAAAATGAATGATGGATGGTGTTGGCAAACAGTGAATTCATTGGAAGGTGCTACGAAAACATTTCCTGTTTTGGGAGAATAGTTTTGACCTTAAGGTTTTTCTTGAAAAAGACTTACGAAGGTTGATCGATGAATACACTGTAACGAAATTTGATTATTGAAATAGATAGAGGAAAACTTATATATATGGATGAGATACAAGAGTTTTTTTTTTTTTACAGGGCTTTCAAATCATATACATAGGAAGTATAGGAGTGAAATATAAGAATAACTTAAAATTTCCACTGACTACAAAATATTTTAAAATCAAAGTGCAGTGATAATGAACTGATGTCTGGAAATTAAGCTGAATTTGTCATTAATTTTCTGGTAGCTGCAACATATCTGTGTCATACAAGATATAATATATAATTTAGAACTCTGTGAACAGAAATCCTTGAAATATTGTATACTGCTGCAGAGAGTTTCATGTTGATCTTCCTGCAGTACAACAATCGAATTCTTCGTTGTTTCGTAAATGAACAATAAGCGTAGCTATTGAATTACCGATATCTTTTTGGCTGCCATTTCTGCTAATTCCGCAGTGTAAAATATTATTCTTCTATTTGTAATGTTTGGAAACCTGTTGGAATTTTGTCAAATTAGATCTTAACATATGAACAAAACTGAGGAAGGCAAAGCATCCAAATCCTACAAACACTGGTTAAAAAATAACAGATGTATTGAATTTATTGAAGCTAACGTATAAATGTATTTCTCTCAAGAACTCCGTAAAGAAAGGATGTAGGAACATGCAAGAAGCATACACAGGAAAATCTCGATTAGTATATAAAATATCAAGAGAGGGTAGTCCTTAACCCAACAGATTTTTCAGCTTCATGTTGCGTGTATACCGGTTCTCGTAATCGCTTTAGTCGCTGTCGATGAACTAGAAAAAGTCAATCTCATTCAGATGGTTGCAAATTTCTGAACTCTGGGAGAAACGTCCCGGTACGAATTATGCGGTAAAAAAATTTTAAGAAGGATGAAAAAAACAGTACCCTTACTCGACTTGTGACTTATCAGAGATTTTTCATCAATAAAATACCGATCACATTCAATACAGTAGAACTGTCCATCACCTAAACAAACATTGGAAATAGTACCTTAGGCTTCACAATTGCTAAAAGATTAAGAACATCCTCAAATGAATGAAGTGAAAATCCGAAATACAGAGATGAACGACACTTCCCTTCATAAGTTCACATTTGATTTCTATTTTTTATGGAAGACTGAGTAACTAGAAATGATGAAGGAACTAGCAAATAGAGTTACCTGGTAAATCAAGATCAAAGTTTATTTGACGAGCTATGAAACGTCGTCGCTTCTCTGACCTGATTTCTTCAATAATCTGATCCATGTCTTTCCCCTTTCTCTTTCTTATTTTATTCGATGTTGTATGCTTTTTCGGCATCCCGTATATTTCTTAAACGAATAACATGGAAATAAAGCATCATCATCATGGAAATTAACAAGTACCTAAAACCTCCACGACGCGAGACTCTAAATTTGCATGCAACAAGATTTGTAGCCTTTAGTTTTCTCCAGTAGAGTGGAAGGTCGCTGTTTGCGGGTGTTGGGGAGTTGGTTTCACGTTCTGTTTCGTTTCTTATGATGCCACAGGAATGTTGCCATAATGAATTAACTTAAGCAGATGTTCTATTTAATTAATTCCAAAACTCTTCAACCACGTATGATGTCTAATGGCAGACATTTTACGGTAGCGAATATAGCGAGTGGTGGAGCTTTCATCCTAATCTGTCAGCTTATATATACCCACATATATCTGCAGAAGAAAATCCAGAAAAAAATTCGGGGTTTCTCTCATTACAGGTAAGAAAATCCGTTGATAAGTTAATTGCCTAGTAGTAAATAGAAAAATGACGTTTCACTACGCAAAGCTTCGTAACATATGCAGCAATATAATATAATATATTTATGCTTACTGTAAAAGTTCGGTTCTACTTTGTACTAGATATTGGTTTATATCATAGAAAATGTGCAGTTGTTTTTACTTTTAGGCCTTCTTCTACATGTTAGTTTTGTATTTTCAGTTAAATTTATTGTAGAACCGCTTTCACAGTGTTATCGAAGCATGAAAAGGCAATGGAATTTTTGGGACTACCGCTTGCTGTTGGTGAAGTTGATTTAGTGGACAGGGAAAGAAATTATATCGATGAACGGAAGTCTGAGGTAGCTAATAAAAAGTCTTATTGTGTTATTCCTGCAGGAAGACGGGACAAAATGAGTTGGATTAGTTCTGTTAAACGGATATATAATTCACGTCGCTCACTAGACTTCTATAGTTCGATAAAATTGATCTAACCAATTTATATCGAGCAAAGCATGGACTCACTATAATAAGATTTTAAATAACTAGTTTTGTAGTATAAACTAACTCATATTGCTTAAGTTGCGAATCCCGATTTGTGGAGAACGTGATGGTGGAATAATGGTAGTTCGAGCGGAACGTGATGAAAATGGTAAAAACTTTGAAACGGTCCAAATTGAACTTGAACTTGATGGAGTGGGTGATAACATTGTTATTTACGATAATGGGAAGTGGTCTGGAAGTTTAGTCCATTTAGACAATTCGAATGATATCTGTTCTATTATGCCTTCTAATCAGTTTTGTTGCCATTTCAGGAGTTGAGAAACCTCCCCATTGAAATATTTCCTTTGAAATTTCTTTGTTCTAAATCTTATTTTGATTTGTAATATTTGAGGTGGGGAACCACTTTTTTAAATTACTAAGGCATAAAATAAATCGGATAAAAATTGTACCGAGTCGGGTCCATAATTATCAAGAATTCATGAATCACATCTGGCTTTTTTGTCCTAGAATAACACGATTTCCTTTTTTTAATAGAGCTATAGCCAAAATTGTTTTATTGACCATTTTCGTCTTCTTAATGTCTTTACTGTTTTTATAAATTTTGGCTTAATGCGGCAATGTTTAAATGTCATATATTTTGATTAATGAATTTTTGTTAAAATCTTAATAAAGGTCCCAAAATCAAAACTGAGATTTCTTGTTTCTTGGAAGCTCCACGAAACCTGTTGTAAATGGATTGGTCTTCAAACTTTCTGAGCAAAACATTTGATAAGTTACTCATTAGTGCTGCGAATGTATAAGAATTGAGGTGATTCTTATGCTGACGAGCTTAGTTCTGAAATTCTGCAAGAAACTTTGGCCATGATGTTACTGGAAGGACTGTAAATTCACGATCTTATATCCTGAGAAAAATACATATTTTTTGATATTTTTTACCCTTAGGTAGCCGGTAAGTCTATTGGTAAAAAGAGGTAAGATGACAACATTTTGGTTATCAAAAATTGAGCTATTCTTAAAAGTAATGCAAAATTAACTGTTTTGCACGAGCTGTAGTTAAAATATTAGGAAATGCTAGTATTAAGACTTAGGGAAAATACTGATTCTTTCTCAGTGATCCTTTTCGTTTAGTTCTGAATGATGTAATGAAAGCGTTTGTTCTTTCCTAACGTGTATTTCTGGTGGAAGTAGACGTTAGAAATAGCGTGAATACTTTTTTTTAGCAATCGAATGCATAAAATATTAACTTTTACTGAAAAATAACGGTTTCTGGCCGATGGTATGATTTGTTCAGAGTACTTACCATGTTACACGGACTTTGTTATACTTGGTGATGTCACTATGATTGCAACAAAGAAGTTTCCAGTGTCTCGGTGCGAATATTGCAGTGTACTGAAATAGAAAATGAGTGTTTTATTCTATTCACTGTAGATCATTCTTATTAAAAGTACAGATGGCTTCCTTTTTTTAAAAAAATAGGTGTTAGAAACTGGTGATGAATGAACACTGTGCGGCTTATGCATATTGTGTTTCTTAAATCTCCTATAAATTTCAGTAGGAATGAGAATTGATTAGCTTTATCATCTTAGAATCCTGTGCTTGGAAATGTGTAACTGCTGCATTAAATATATTTCTTGTACATGCATACGTTGTGCAATGTTTAACATTTAAACAATTTATAACTGCAGATTCCTGATTTGATTTTTCAATGTATTATCTCATAGTTTGTTATCTCAGTTTTTATGTTTGCATTCAGAATTTTCAGGAACAAATAATTACTCGAAGTCCATGTTGATTAAGGGTACTCTTTTATCATTGAAAAATATGCAGTGGCCTTCGTGGTTGCAACCATATGTCGAAGTCTTATTGTTATGGATTTCATGGGCAATTGATTGTGTTGATTGGGATTATTTGGAAGTGCGTTGGAATGTCCCATATGCTTTTCTGAAGTTTTTTTCTAGATTTCGATGAAATAAGAACCAGAACTGCTTACCACTTTCCTTTTCAGAATAAAAGCTTAGCACTTACATTCCTTACCTTACATTTTCGTTTGAAATGCACATGAACTGGCTTGTTTAAAGATAAATACCAGCTTTTCAGTATCTTACATGGCTTTTCCTGCCACTGTTCGTCGCTTTCATATTACCAGCTATTCTTCTACTTTTTATATATGGTTGTGTTATTTTTCTTCATATTTATGGCTTGCGAAATCGTATTCGAGAGGCTTACGCTAGTAGTTTATGGGATGGCGCACGTATCAGTATCGCATCCTTCTGGGATGCAGTAGGATATGTCTGGCACGGTAAATTATTGGAAAATATTTCTTATAGAATGTTTTATGTTGCGTTTTATATCATATAATTTATAGTTCAGCAGAGTTCTGGAGTTTTTTTCTACTTGATGAAAAACGCATAAATTAGCAACCTGATCACCTGATCAAGTCAAATATAGTTCATAATACTTTCAAAAACACTGGATTTTATTTATAAAGCATTTCGATGAATAATTTTTTTTTACAGGTTATGAAATAAAAGGTTTGGAAAATGTGCCTAATGAAGGCTCCGCTCTTCTTGTATATTACCACGGAACATTACCAATAGATGTATATTATGTTATTGCGAAATGTATGCTTCATAAGAAGCGTACTCTTCACTGTGTTGGTGATAAATTCATCTTCAAAATACCTGGTATTTTATTTATTCCTCATTTTCTTCCTTCTGCTCTGAATAACATCATAAGTTTTCGTCCTTCTTATTTTGTCGCAGCAGACTAATCTAGTTCTATAAACTTAACCTTGACTTAGTATTTAAAATTTAATGCACGCCTTTTCAGGATGGGGAATGATTTGTAAGGTTTTTTATATAACTCCTGGAACGGTAGATGATTGTATGGCACGGCTGAAGGATGGCCATTTACTATGCATTGCTCCCGGTGGTGTTCGTGAAGCCTTGTTTTCTGATCCCACTCGTTATAACATTATGTGGGCTCGCCGTTTGGGCTTTGCTAAAGTTATCATTGGTTGTCCAGGAACGGTTAGCCTTTAGATTATACTTAAGTGAAATCTGAAGAATTTTTCGGAAGAAATAAAATCCACAATCATTTAATTGAAGAACTGTAACTAAAGTTGTTCAATTAAATGCGAATTATTCATCCATTCCGTTTGCTATATTCTTTCACTCTTATTTTTTTATTATGCTATTTTAGCCCGTAATTCCAATGTTTACTGAAAATTGTCGTGATGCTTTCCGTACTCCGCGTTGTGGACGAAGTAAGAATTTATTTCATTTTACATCGTCCGATTGCAAGGTTGCTATTTACTGGGTCTTCTTGGTGCATATACCAAACCCAAATTTATAGTCGGTAATCGATATGCATTTCAGAGATTTTTAGATGGATTTATGAAAAAACGCGACTACCACTTTGTCCAGTATACGGTGGTTTCCCGGTTAAAATGATGTACGTTTTTGAAGTTTGATGACGTTTATTCTTTTTATTATGCTTTTTTCTCAGAATTACCAACGAAAGTTAGTGAAGGTCTTGACGATGAGATTAATGCCGTATTTCATAGCTATGTAACGATTTTCAAGTTCATACCTTAATGAACTTACATTTAGTATATTTTTTTATATCTTATTTGAACTCTTCATAATACTGTCATTTCCTAGCGGTTTTCCAGAACGCATCTAGGCAGACCTCTTTATTTTTCTTCTGATATGAATCCAGAAGATGTAAAAAAGGCTGTGAAGGGCGAGGTACATGACTTAATTAGAGAACATCAACGGTTACCTGGAAGTATATTGCTCGGAATCATGCAGAGGTATATTTTTTCTATTTAATATATATATATATATATTTTCTATTACTGGGTTTTTGATGACCTAACACACATATACATGCATGTACATATAAGTATATCCATATAAATATATAGTATTTACACATATATGGGTATATAGGGTTCTTCAGGATATGTCACACTTCAGTGATAAGTAATTTACGAAATATTTCGTAACTGATTTCCAAACTTATTCAGTGACAGTATTTTCAAAATATTTGCTTTTATCAAAAGTTCTTATTTTTTCCCTCTTTCTTGTACTAAAATAGGATTACTTATTCTTTCAGTGCATAACCATATACAGCTTCAGGTCAGCTAATTTTCTGCACGGTGCGCTGTTAGTATAGCATGAAACTTTTTTGGCTAATTTATTATAGGAAGAAAGAAAAACATAGCTTCTTAATATATTCAAGGAGTTCGATAATTGGAATAATAATCTGTTTCATACAACAGGATTATTTCAGTTTCTGTACATAAATTTTGAAACCCTTTGCAGGTTTTATGATAAGCGGCACTATAAACAGGATGTATTATTGGAAGAAATAACTTGTAGTAATCTATGCTCAAATAACATTACACACAGCGACAGCATTGCTTCCTTAGGTCAGTTGTCATCGCCAGACATTCTGATTTCCCATGTAGATGGTACAGTATCGCTCGATATCAACTGATTACCAAAAGGGATATACATGCCGTTCAAAAAATTTGTCACTTAATTATAATTTTTTTTTCTTATTTGTTTGTTAGATCTCGCGTCTTGAAGGTTGCTTTTCTGTGTTGCTGTTGGTGTGTTTTCCATGGAGCCTTCCTTTTTTTAGTAGTTGTTTGATTTCTCTCTTTTTTTTTTTTTCTTTTTTTGTTCTTCATGGTTGAAGTTTTCGTAACTGTTAGAGTTTATTAGATTTCTGGAAGTTTTTAGATTCATCACTTTAATTTTATATGTAGTTTATCTATTTGTTTTACTCGGCTTGTCTTGTAGTTGTATTTTTCTAGTGGTTGTTTTTTTTTTATCCACCTGTATATGTGTTATTTTCTCCTTGGAAGAATATAAGACTTTTATTTCATTTCGGATTTTATTCCATTTCCAGTAATTTAGGAAGGACCAGTTTTTAGTTTTGTTTTCATAAACTTAGGATAGTATTATGTTTTGTTATATTTTCTTCTGTGATTTTTATTTCCAGAGTTATTTTGTTTTCGTTGACAAAATTTAGTCATATTAGCTGTCTTTTCTGATTTATTACCATTGTTTATGATATACCATATAACCATGACTATAATAGCTATTTGAAACATCATGTTCAATCGATTTGTTAATGTTTTTTGGCTAATTTTTCAATTCAAAGAACTAACTGTTTAATTAATATGTATTGTCTAGACCCGTAAAAATTTCAGTTTCAATTTTCAACCTTAGTTGTTCATTTAATTCACTAGTTAATTTATTCGCATTTATAAAACGAAAGATCAGCTAATTTTTCTTATTTCTCTATTCTAAGAGATAGAGAATGATGAGATTCTTCAAAATAGTGCATTATATTTGGAACAGAAACACGGCAATTTATTCGTTTAAGATTGTTATCTTAAAAAAAAAAAAAAAAAAAAGTGATTTCGGCTGTATCGAACTGCCATGTATCCCCCCATCAACGTTATTTATATATACATTATCCAAATTGCTAAATTTTGGTTCTTTATCAGATAAAGTCTGACAGATACATGCAAATAATCAGGGCAGTCTCGAACTAAACATTCTTTACATTGAAATATGGTACTAATTGTTAAATGTTTGTGAAGTTACTACATACTACATGAATTGACAGATGTAAGCATTTCGCTGAGTTGTTTTATAAAAAAAAATATTTTTCATAAAAGCAGGGAAAAAGGCTGGAATGGTACTCACGAATATTCTATGAAAGGTAAGCGCGTGATGCGAGTCAGTGGAAATTGGTCCTATGTAAATATATCGTTTGGATAATCCGGGATTTGGGACTCAAGTGCTTCCAGCAAAGCACAACAATGTTAAAAACTGGCAAGAATTTAAGTATGAGTTATGTTTTATAAGTAATGATTGTACGACAAATTTTGAATGCATGTTTAATGTTTCCATGTTTGAAATTATAAATTCAACTTTTTTGTATCCAAAAAAAGTGTTGTTAAAAAAGCGTTTAAAAAGCTCAAGCAGTCAAACCTTTCAGGCTTCATACGTAGGCGGAAAAAGTTAAGGATACCAGAAAAAATCCAAATGCCAGTTTTATTTTTTTGGACATAATTTTAGATGAATAATTTTAACAAGTGATGAGATTAAGGGAAGCAAACAAATGTGTTTAGAGTGGGAATATGTGACGAAGTGGTTATTTGGTTATATTTATGGTTATTCGCTATCGTATCAATTGCCATTAAGCAGTGTTCTCGAGAAGAAATTTAGCTTACAGTAGTTAGAAGGTTTCAAACATGTTTGCTTTCAGTTCAGCAAGTTTCCACAAACAGTCAGTGAAATTTGCTTATAAATGCAGCAGCTGTTGCACGGTATTTACTGTGCATCGATGTGTGCTGTTTCTTGGTTTCTTATAATGAATGAGACTTGAGAACTTCTGTATAATTACTTCATACCTTGTGAAGAATTCGTCTCTGTAATTCTTATCTGCATATTCCAAAATATTTTGGTTGAAGAATTTGGTGCTCTTTAAAAGATCCACTGGAAAGGAGATTCCATTATCGATCTGTCTCAGTCTTAATTGTGGCCCACTCTTCCTCGCTATACCCAGTTATAACGTACAAGTTGCTCCTATATACAAGTCTCATACAAATGGACTTCCTGAAATTCTATCTTGTGAACAAACTTTTGTCAGTCTAATAATTCGATCTCAGCGAACGGTTCCCTCAGTTTTATGAAAATTAACAGAATGATACGATACTATTAAGAGTAAATGTTAGTCTCACAAAACCTTGTAATTACATAAATTTATAATCGAGACACATGTTCGTAATAAATAAGCTATAAAACAAACCATACGAGTCTTTCCTGAAACTATGCAAGTGTTTCCTGAGCTAAAAGTGATTTTGACTGATAAAACATTTCGAGTAATGCGCAGTTATCAGTTTAATAGTGCAGAAAAATGAATATGTAGCTAATATGAATGTTACTTGTTGAATTTTTAACTTCGGGAAACCTGTATGCCGTGCGGAGAAGTGGTCAGAATCTTTTCATAATGGGAAGTTCTTGAAGTGATAAGAGAGTTAACTTTTGTTAACGTATCGGAGTGTAGCGAGTGGGGTGCAGGGCGATGCGTCCTCGTACTATTTATTTCGATGTTTACGTGTGACTATTTTTGTTTGTTCAACAGTTATTGTGGAAAAGAGACTTAAAGGAAAAGTGTATTGCGAAATTTGTCCATTTTCAGGTTTACATCCGTCAAGATTTCTAGGTTTAAATACATTCCAATTAGTCCATCACCCCTTTCTACAGTTTTAACGTCATGTTCGATTCATCTCACTGCAGTTTGTGGTTTGGAAAAACAATGTGGAAGATTTGAACAGATTTAGTTAGAATGCGTGCCATTGTTTCCGATCTTCAACGAGCTGTGTTTCAAGTAGCAGATGAACGTTTAGTTGCGGTAGCTAATATTGTTCGCATCGACAGTAAAAAATGTCGGAAGCCAACATTTCTTTGCTTAGCTGGTTTGCTAATTAGTTATGTTGAAATTCTTTTTTGGAGATTGCAATAGCTTAATTTTTACATGTTTGTCATTTGGTTTTGACTCGTTTTTTTGTCAATTTCAAATTATGCCATCGTTGCAGTGGCCACGGACCAACCAATAGTTGTGCGTCTATATTTTGTCAGAAATGAAAAGGAAGGCTGTTATAAAAAGAAAAGACAGTTCGCACTTCGAGATGTGAAGACGGTTGATGGCATTAATCCGCGGAAGGTTAAATTTTGGTAGCTCTTGCGGGATAATGAACAAAATCTCATTATCTAAGCAAGTTCTTCAAGGGGTACCTGGAGAATTCTATCAATTGCAGTTGACACCGGAATTTGATTTGGTCGTTGACGATCGCTTGTTCAGGTTTTGTGCTTCCACAACTGAAGAGAAAGATTCATTCATCAAGCAACTGTATAAGGTCTTCTAAATTATTTTTTAGCATTCACATATGTTTTTTTTTTTTTTTGTTAGAATTTAAAACGCGTATAGCTAACGTGTTTTAGTTTGCTAATAAGTATCTCCCGGTACAGAAACCAGATTTTGTAAACATTCCGATTCCTGTCGAAACACCTTACATAGCCGTTATAGCAGAACATGTTGATGGTGATACCGATGAAGGGTTAGTTGATTATCAGGTTGGTGCAGAGAATATATGCTTTAAACTTTTTGCATAGGTCCAGGTTTCACTTTTATGATATGATTGTTTTATTGATTTCGGAAGTTTTTGTCAGGTATTGTTTCAGCCAATATCTGCTAAAGAAGAAGTTGATTTTCGTCGCTTACTTGCACGTGCCAATCTTACGATCGGTGAAGCGGATAAATTTGCCGCAGTGCTTACATCACAGCTTCAGCTTTTGGATGGCGCTAACATACAGTCTATTATGGATAGTGAAGCTGCCGTCAATGAACTTATTGGACTTGTTGAAGATGCCCTTGAAGAAGTTGATTTCTTGGATAAAGAGCTTGACAACTTTGATCAGTTACTTTATGTTAGTACTTCTACCTGATTTTCTCGTGCTTACAATGTTGTGTCTGTTTGTGACTTGCAAAATCATTGCTTAATTCTTTAATAAGTTTAAATTTGTTATTTGAATTTTAGTATTTAAAGTTCATCTTCATTGACATGACTGTGAGTTGAAGATGAAGGAGAGAAGTTGAATAACCTTTTATTTTGAATTAAACAGCATGTACGCGATAGTGTTGAATTAATCGAAGAAAAAGATAGCCTTGGATGTGTTGAACGAAAAAATACTCGAATCTTAAAAGATTTTTTGTCGGAATTGGTGACGACTGTAGATATTGTTAGTGAAGATCATATCCGTGCATTACAGAGTGCGAACTTATCCGATCCTATAAGGTAAGGAGTTTATGGAATCATCATGGTGACATCTTGAATGGAGATGTTGATGTCCTGAATTTTGTGTTTTCTGTGCTTCCTGAACTCAATTTGCATTGCAGCATAAGTCGATGTTGTGCTGCAGCTCGTGCTTTGCAAGCTTATTCAGCAGCTAAAGTTAATCCTTCAATGCATTTGATGGTTTCATATAAAGAAAGAACTGAACAGTTAAATCACTTAACTGATCGTTTCATCGAGAAACTGATAGCACATATGTCCGCATTATTCTCAAATTTGGTAAGTATAAACATTTCGTTTTATTCATTAAAACATCATTGACGCTTAAAACATCATTGCAGTTTTCAGAACGATTTAATGGAAGTATCAGATTGGCATGAAATTGCAGTACAAAAGCAGTCTGAAAGATTTCACGCCCTTCGACCATTTTCTGATTTGATGGGATGGTTGAAATCAGTTAGACCATCTGTGTATCAAACACTCATACAGGTATATTATCTAATATTCATTTTTCTTTTTTTTTTTCTTTCTTAAATTTAGATGGAGCCTGATTTTTCAGTTTTCAACAATGCAGATGTAATCTTAAAAATAGGTGGGAAGGCAACACATTATATATTATATC